ATATGTACTTGGTGCCTGGGGACAAAAAGTGATCGATCTTGGATCCCTGGAACTGGGGTTACAAATGGTGTGAGCTGCCATGTGGGTGCTGGGAACCAAACCTGTGTCCTCTGTAAGTTCTCTCAATCAATGAGCTGTCTCTCCAGCCCCAAAAGATGCTTCTTGAAGAGTCAAGCTCAAGCTGGATACAGGTCACTGGCAGAGTGTTCCCACAGTATCTACAAGTCCCTAAACTCAAACCCTAATAACAACACACACAACCAGTGCCACTTGACCCTGAAGGAAAACTGTCATGAGTTCAAGAGCAGCCCAGGCTCACAAAATGAGCTGGACATAGTAGCACACACCTTTAATCCCAGCACTTGGGAGGCCGATGCAGGAGGAGCTCTGCTAGTTCAAGCCCCGCCTGCTCTATATGGTGAGTTATAGGACAGTCAGGGCTATGTAGAGAGAGCTTGTCTCAAAAAAAAAAAAAAACCAAGAAGAAAAAATTAATAAATTTTTAAAAGATAGAGCATAGGAAGTGAGATGGCTCAGCCTGATGGCCTGATCCCAACACACACACACACACACACACACGTGCGTGTGCACACACACATGCACACACACACACATACACACACGCGCACACACATACATGTAAACACACACACAAATCTATAAATATAAAAACAAACGTTTTCAAGAGAGTCAGTCAGCAAGATGTCTCAGAGGTACTTGCTACACAAGCTCCTGACCACCCGAGTTTGGATCTTGAACTCTCAAGAGACATCACGTAGAGCAGGGCTTAGACAATGACCCCACGGTGTCTACTGCATGACAGTGCAGCCCTCCGACATCCTTTGTGAGGAAGACACTGTCCTCTCGGTTAATTAACCCACTGGCTGGTACTCTTGCCGCTATGGCCAAACTAAATAGTAAAGAATTCCAGAGCCAAAGTGGGTATCCAAGCAGAAGGCGATCGATCGCTTCTAACTGTAAGAACTGCAGCACACAAGAGTAGAGACGCCAAGGCCTTGCAGTCGTGAGATGTCCTGGGATGAGGGGGGACATAAGACCGTGGAAAAGGTTCAAAGGCTCAGGTGTTAGTGGCTTTTAAATAAGTGTTTGTTGGAGTTTTCTCAGCTAGCTGCCAAATATTTGAGACTAGATTGTTATATTTACTTAACAAGCTTTAAGGGCACAACAACTGAGCAGTATTACTCCATTTTAATCCTGTAAACTAATCTGGTGACCTCCCAGCCAGAATCCCGGTGAGACTTGCATTTTAGTACTGATCTGGATCTCTGGGCTCCAGTGTTCTCTCAGTGTCTCTCCCTGTGTCCAATCCCCACTTACTTTTCCTTCCCTCCTCTCTGGCTAGGAGGAAGTCCAGTCCTATTGGCTGATCAGCTCTCATTGACAAATCAGAGAATGGGGAGCAATGCTTACACAACATGGAGGTAGGAGATTCTTAGAATAAGCATTACAACACCATGTCCAGATTGCAATCAGACAAGGAGGCAGAGAAATCGGCATTTGAATAATAAGGATAATCTTCACAGAGTATACAAGTAACATTATGCCTACACCCTGGAGCTCTGTACGTTCGAAAGTGGCTACAGAAGGACCAGAAATGCTGGAGAACTTCCTCCGCTTCCCCACCCAGGCCCCTGACCCCCTTGGGAGTTGGCCCTTCCTCCCAGGCCTTACATTTTGCATAGTAATCACATACTGAATGAGACACTTACTGGACAGAAGGCCAGGAGACCAGGAGAGCAACGGACAGGGGATTGGGACACACTGACCATGGCACCCTCCCACTCATTGCCCTTTATCCACCCATGGCTCTAAGTGTTCTAGGGGCCGGGGGTGACATGGAAGGAAGCACCCAAAGTCCCACCAGTAATGGCACTTATACACTTAGCTGAACAGGCAAATAAAATATCAAATGATCAGTACAGATAAGAAAGTAGGAATTAAGTTCAAATACAGCAATTGCACCGAGCAGGCCGGGAATGATTGCATATAGCCTTGGGTTTTTGTTGGTTTTCTGTTTTTTTTTTTTTTTGGCTTATTTGTTTCATTTTCAAAAATGCTGTCACGTATCAGTTATGGTACTGTTATGAACTTATTAGATATGAACACGTCCATGCCCCTGCTTGTATCCACGTGTGACTGATGCAGGGCTATGGCTCCAAAGCCAGACTGAGGTGTCTGGGACACAGACAAACAGGGGAGGACCCTCTCAGCCCAGCCCTTCTTCAAGCAGGGCCAAGAAGGGCCGATGCCACCAGCTCTGGGTATTGTCAGCAACACCTCCCAGGCTGCCCACTGCTATCTGGGAAGGGGACTGGGTCCTGGAGATTGTAGAGTCTCCTCTGGCATCGGGAGCTAGGTGGGGGACAGGGCAGAGTGACAGTGGCTCTCCATCCCTGTGGCACACTCCCACTCCCTGCAGAGCCACACAGGGTGGGGTAGGGTGGGCTCGGGTGGGGTGGAGTCTGGTGGGCTTTTTCCAGCCTGACGAAGCAGGAGCAATGGGGGTGGGGCTGGGACCATTGCTGTGCAGTTAGGAGAGAAGCGATGTGACCTGAGTCTCCATAGCTGAGGACAGGGAGCAGACAGTAGCTCGGCCGGAAGCGAATGGCAGGGGTTCATGGAGCTCCACCTCACATCCTGTTTTCAAAATGTGGGGTTCCAGCACGTGCTATTTTCTTGGCTTTTATCCAGGGTAGTACCCCCACACCCAGGTCTATTTCTAAAAGACCCTGCAGGAGGATGGAAATGTTCAAGGGCACACCCAAGCTGGAGTTAACCAAAAGTTTTTCCAGGCTGGGCTAGACCCCTAACTGAGCCAATCAGTAGAGAACACATTTTCCATTAGGGAGCCACTGTTAACAGACAGAAACCCATGCAGGCCTTTGTACTGACGGGGAGTGGGGGGATAGCACAGAGTACCTGCGGACTAATGACCTGTCCCTTCATAGGAATAAACTCAGCCCACCTCAGTGCTGGGACCCTCAGCCCCATGCAAGGGCCAGGGGAGGCCCTGCCCATGTAAAAAGAGGACAGTTTTCCCTTGCATGCTGTGAGCATGTGCTGCAAACCATTCAGGCCAAGTGGGAGTGCACAGTCTGCCTTTGTGCGACTCTCACTAAGTCTCAGTTTCCCCAGCTGTAAATAGCGCCCTCCTGCCTGGATTGCTAAAGACTGAATGAGTGGGTGACTGTGCTAGACAGAAGGGAGGGACAAAAAACTCATCTCAAACTGGGAGGACCTCTTCCTGGCCCACGCAGGTCCCCGTGGATTGTCTACCGTGGCCTGGCATCTCCCTGCACCTAGACTGGCAGACACCACTCCATATTAGAAAACTCTTGGTGGAAACTGCTGCTGACCATATGAGGTACCACACTCCTCATGGTAAACGTAGGTATTGCTGAGGAGAGACCAGAGCCTTAGCTTAACCATGGGAGCCAGCTATCTCCTCACCTTCGTGACGACCGCAAAGAGATTTCCCAGGCATTGGTTTGGGGTTTCTACAACATAGTTGAGATCTGAGCATTAAGATGCCCAGCTACTCGGGGTGTGGTGGTGCATACCTAATGTTCTGGCGCTTGGGAGGCTGAGGCAGGAGGATCAACTACTTCAAGGGCAGCCTGGCCTATTCGATAAGGTCCAGGCAAGCTTTAAAAACTACATAGTAAGACTCTTCTGTCTCAGAAAAAACAAAGCAAGATGGATCTCGGAGTTTAGCTGGCTCAGGTGACAGACCAAGAGAACTTAGCCCAAATGACCTAAATGGCTCATCCAAAGTCCAATAGTGGCAGAGCAATGAATCAAAAAACAGCCATCGGATACTTGTCGTCACCTAAAAACCAAGGTATCTCTCTCTGGCCCACGAGCCCACCTTCAAAAGAGGAGTCAGTCAGTTGTGGTAGACCCAGTCTTCAGTTTGGGGAGTCTTTCAGGAGAGGGTTCCTATGATTGATCTCCCTGGCTCCCTCAATAAAAAACTGTGACTCTAGTTAGCCTTAGCCCATGGCCAGATGGAGACACGGCCATGGAAAGGGCATGGCGGGTAAGGGATGGAAAGAGAGGGCAGGAAGGACCCAGCAAGGGGTGTGGTTTTGGATCTATTCCCAGGGTGGAGCCAGACCACAGGTCACCCTGTCCCTTTAAGAGAAGGGGGAGAGCTAGCCCCTCTCAGCCATACTCGTCCTATCACCTATCCCAGCCAAATCCAAAAAGGAAAATGAAAGAGGGACTCAGAGGAACAGGTCCCAGCTGTCTCCCAAGGCCCTCCGCTCAGCTCTAAGGCCCAGGTCCCAGGGTAAGTGGGGTTGGGGACATCTAGAGGCCACTAAGGGTCTACAGGGCCATGGTGTATTCCGTGTGTCTGGGGAGGCTTACGGGAGAAGCTTGACAACTGCTGTCAGAGAGGGGGCAGTTCCCGGTCTCCTTGGCTGAGGTTGGAGAGGAAGCGAGGACCTAGGGTGAGAGATCCCTAAGTTGGGAAAACAGGCTTCTGTGTCAGCTTCCAACCCTGAAAGGCGTTCCCCTGAGGCGAGGTGAGAGAGGGACAGCGGGGGCTCACTCGGCCTGGCCCTCCCCTTGCTCCCAGGGGTCTCAAACAGAAGGAACGTGGAATTTCAGACTCCAGCAGCCTCTCTTGCTCCTGGAAATCATCCTGGCGCAAAAAGCCAGGCCAGCAAGGTTGGCCCTGCCGAAGAACCTAGAATCTGGGAGACCTTAGGTTTTCCCTAGCCAAGCGGGCCGAGACCAGGAATTCCCCCCGAGGTGCGGGAGAATCCCACCTCAGCACCCCTCTATGCCTAGATGAAGGAATCCCATAGCTGAGGATGGATAGTCTCACACTCAGGAGAATTAACTCACTGAACCCCACGAAATCTCCTTCCCCTGGCGCCCTCCGAGATTAGAGATTGTAGAGGAACGGGGTGGGGGCGGGGGTTGTTCAGTCCATCCCAGCCTAACTACCCCCTTTCCTCGTCCCCAGCATCATGGGGGAGTGGGCGTTCCTAGGCTCCCTGCTGGACGCGGTGCAGCTGCAGTCGCCGCTCGTGGGTCGCCTCTGGCTGGTGATCATGCTGATCTTCCGCATCCTGGTGCTGGCCACGGTCGGGGGCGCCGTGTTCGAGGACGAGCAGGAGGAGTTCGTGTGTAACACGCTGCAGCCCGGCTGTCGCCAGACCTGCTACGACCGCGCCTTCCCGGTGTCCCACTACCGCTTCTGGCTCTTCCACATCCTGCTGCTGTCGGCGCCGCCGGTGCTGTTCGTCATCTACTCCATGCACCAGGCCAGCAAGGAGGCGGGTGGCGCGCAGGCGGCCCCGGCGTGCGCGCGCGGGCGTGCCGAGGTGCCGTGCTCCCCGTGCTCCCCGTGCTCCCTGCGCGCTCGCCGCGCGCGCCGCTGCTACCTGCTGAGCGTGGCTCTGCGCCTGCTCGCCGAGCTGGCCTTCCTGGGTGGCCAGGCGCTGCTCTACGGCTTCCGTGTGGCCCCACACTACGTGTGTGCCGGGCCACCTTGCCCGCACACGGTCGACTGTTTCGTGAGTCGGCCCACCGAGAAGACGGTCTTCGTGGTCTTCTACTTCGCCGTCGGGCTGCTGTCGGCGCTGCTCAGCGTGGCGGAGCTGGGCCACCTGCTCTGGAAGGGTCGCCAGCGCGCCAAGCTGCTCCCGCCGCCGCCGCCGTCGCCCTCTCTGCCTTCGCAGCGCGGGGACCCCGATCCCTTCGGCCCGCCTGCCTACGCGCACCGCGTACCGGTCGGCGACAGCGAGGGCGAGGGCGGCAGCGGCCACAGCAAAGCGTCGCTGGCCACCCTGCGCCAGGACCTGGCCATCTAGCGGCGAGATCGGAGGCTGGATGTCAGCACCCGGTTCCTTGGAGGTTTCTGAAAGACTGTAGGACCCTGCCTGAGCAAAAGATGAGCAGAGGGGGACTCCCCCCCCCCCAGCAGAAAATACGCAGAGGGGACCGCCGGGGTTCGGGTGGGGGTGGTGTCGCACTTCCTAGTGCTGGTTACAGCACCCGCGTTGAATCAGGGAGGCTCCTCCGTGTTGTGATCCCAGCGGAAAGGGAGAATCCCAAGTGCTTCCCTAAGAGGAGGCAGACGGGCAGTGGGTGACCTGATTGTTGCACCGGAGACAAAAATCAAGTGATGGCAGCATTCCCAGGTCCCCTGCTAATTCAGAGAGTTTTCTGTGAGCTCTCTGTGCACACAAGCACACTGGATACACTCAGATGGGTTGGATGCACGAGCACTGTCAACCTCTGTGAGCTGTGTGTGTTTGCATGTGTACGCTTGTGAGGGTCCGCACACGCGTGTGTCCACGAGTACACACCTCCCAAGTGACAGGAGATACAGACCTGTTGTAAGGGCACATATATGTTCTTGTGGGCTCTGTGTGGGTGAGTGTATGCATGTATCCTGTGTAAGTTCTGTGTACACACCTGTACACACACATTCTGTGTGTGCGTCTGCCATCACTGTCAGTCACTACCAGAACCCAATTCTAGGGGCAGCCAAGATGGCTTCCTCCCTATTGACTTAACCCAGCCACCTGTGAGGGCATCAGTATCTCCAGCAGGGACAGAAAGCAAGGAGAGTCCTGTTCGGTCATCATCCTGTAGTCTGTGCTCTGCGCCCAGTGGCCAGGCCGGGTAGCCACGCCCACCGTGGAGGCAGACTGGGAGGAGGGCTGAACTTGAAACAGAGTGCAGTTCTTTTGACTTACTTCACCTCTGGTCCCACCTATCACTGTTCCTGTAATCTGTAAACATGGTTGAGTCCTTTCCGTCCTCAAGATAAACTGCCCTTCAGAGAGAGATGTTTCTGGGTCCCCATTCCCTTGCAACTAGCCCTACTCCTAGCCCAGACTTTCAAAGAGATGCCACATGGCTCGTCACCCCTCTCTGTCTGTCTTCTCACCTGTCTTCCTCCTTTGTCACCTTTGTGGCCATTCCAAATACCCTCACCAGGACCAAGTGATAAATCCTGACAGAGTAGGGCTGGCTGCCTTTCCTCAGCACCTCTGGCTGTCTCAGATCTGTTGCTCAGGCTCTACCTTTAGCTACCATACCCCAAACTGCTCAGTCTCGCCCACACCAGCCTTCCCTCTGTCCTTTATGTGCCAAATTGCCGCCCACCTAAGAGCTTTCTGCATAGCCTTACTTGGCCCTTGAGGGATCCCCTGTTCTTGGAGTACAACCAGCCATTTCCCCTGGCTTCCTGCATACTGGACTCCCCTTGGCTGGGCCTCCACCCCCACCTTGCCATCTGTCAAAGCAGCCTGAAGTTTCTGTTCCCAGCAAGCATGCCCACTTGGGATACCAGTTTTAGACATGCTGTCAGGTGCAGTATTACTTTCCGAAGCCCTGCCCCCTACCACTGCCTGCCTTTGTCTTTTGGTCTCATTTGAAGAAAATGTGCCTCCAGGTATACAGGTATGGCTTTCTCTGCCCCAAGCTGGAGTCAGGCACCCCGTGTTCCAGCCATGCTCCATTTGGGCATGACATATAGTAAGTGTTTTGGGGCCACTACATCAAGATGCTGCAGCTCACGCCCACGCTCCCAGTGGACATGTCTGGCTCTCTGACGGTGGGTAGTTCTTTGTCTACAGCCTGGAGCCCTCCACGCAAGCGTACATGTGATGTCCAGCTGCCTTGCAAAGATAGTCACCCAACAAATATTGGTTCAAGATCACTATCATTCAATAGGATTGATTGTACATGAGGCACAACATAAATTGTTTGTTTGGTTTGATTTTGATTTTTGAGATAGGATCTCTCTACATAGCCCTGACTGGCTAGGAACTCACTATGTAGACCAGGCTGGCCTCAAATTCAGTGAGGTCCGACTGCCTCTGTCTCCGACTGCCGGGATTAAAGGCATGCATGCACCCCCACCATGTCCAATTTACAATGTAATTTCCAATCTTCATCCAACCACATTAAAAAACAAACAAACAAACGGAAACAGGCAAGATTGATGTAAGAAGTGTTATTTTCTTTAACCCACTTTATTCAAAATAGTTCCATTTGAGTGTATTGTTGGTGTCCAGAAGGATCACAGAGATATTTCCCGTTCTTTTGCTCACACAACTCTAGAATGTACTTTACATATAAGGTACATGTCAGTTCAAACAAGCCCAGTCTGCACACATAGTTAGTGTACAGCACAGATCCAGATGTCGGCTGCAGGTCAGCACCTCTGTCCTCACAGAGTTTGGATTCTGGTGGGAAATACATCAGAAAAGATAAGGGGGAGCGATGTTCCCGAGGAGGTGACACTTAAGGGACCAGTCATGAGGCTGTTTCCAAGAAAAGCATTCAGATGGTCAGTGCCAAAGCCCTGAGGTGGAAGTGTGCCAAAGCCAACAGAGAGACCAGTGTGGCTGGAGCTAAGTGAGCACTGGCAAATGTGGGAAGGAGGGCCAGCAACTTGGAAACAGTCCGACCGGTCTCAAAAGGTCCACTCCGTTACTGGCTCCTCCATGCCGTGGGACCACCTCTGCCAGCACTTGTCCAGCCATCTTCAGGTTATTTCCTGTAAGATACCAATCACCTACACCTCTCCTTTGACTTCATCATCAGCATCTCCTGTGTCCACTCTTCTCGGGCCCTGGAGACGCTGCCCAGGGTCAGCTGCTGCCTAGAGCTACCCACAGCCCCTGCTCCTGCCCCACTGGCTCCATGTTGTCAATCTCCCATCAGGGCTGAATGCTGCTCCGGCCACCTGTCCCAGTCTCTACAACTGCACCTTCTCCATATTGACTCACAACCAGATGCTGACAAATTCTGACTGGCACAAACCACCTAATTACCCCCATCCCCCCACAGTTACTGTCCTGAAGGAAGGGAGACTTGTCCACAAAGATTCCTGAGTCTTGATGGAGAAACACTTCTGACTTTGGTCCATTATCAATCTTTTGAGTCCGTTTGTGGAAGATGAGTCTTGGCACAGCACAGAGCTTGGCTAGGGGTGTGTCTGCCTCCAGGGGACATTCCCACAGCCTTCGAGGAAGCGTGGGTATCCAAAGAGTAGAGGCTGCGGACAGACTTCAGATTGGCGGCATGCTTGCTGAGCAGGAAGCCATGGGCTTCATCCCCAGGCATGGGGATCCTAGCACTTGGAAGGTAGAGGCAGGAGGATCAGAAATGCAACGTCATCTTTGGTTAGATAGTGAATTCAGAGTCATCCTGGGATACCCGAGACCCTGTTCAAAAACAGATGGTTGAGTGGACTGGAGTGAACAACGTGTGGAGGCACACAACTATAATCTCAGAATCTGAGAGGCTGAGGCAGGAAAATCCCAAATTCCAAGCTGGCCCGGGCTACACAGCAAGACCAACAGAGATGAGGAATCTTGTTGACCATTGTGAGCACCCAGGATAAACTCTCACTGCAAAAGAATTATCCTACCCAAAATGTTACCACTAGACCTGGGTTACATAAAGAGAATGTCTTCAAAAAAATAAAAAATGCCAGTGGTGAGGATGCACACTTTTAATCCCAGAACTTGGAAGGCAAAGCAAAAGGAGCTTTGTGAGGAAAGGGGGTCACCAAGCCCTACCCCTAGCTGAGGAGCCACTGGCAGTTGCTAGCTCCTAGGAGAGGGAGTGAGTTTTCTTTAGGGATGATTTAGCCCGTGGCCCTACACCTATGGGTGTATAGGCAGCACGAAGGAGACTCAGTGGGTTTTTAAATAGGGCACAGGAGGATGGAGAGATGGCTCAGTGGTTAAGAACATTGGCTGTTCTCCCAAAAGACCAAGGTTCAAATCCCAGCACCCACATAGCGGTTCACAACCGTCTGTAATTTCAGTTCAGATCTGACACCCTCACACAGACATACATGAAGGCAGAATACTAATGTAAATAAAGTTTAAAAAAATAAAAAGGGTACATGAAGTTGTAGGGGCCACTGGTGAGGGAGGAGAAGTGGAGGTGTGGGGATAGAGGTGTATTTGATCAAAATTCAGTATATGCAAGTATAAAATCTCAAAAAAAAGGTAGTTGAAGACTTCAAATATATACAAAATTGTCACACAAACTTTCAAAAAGAAGTTTTTAAAGATTTATTTTATATATATATTAGTACACTGTAGCTGTCTTCAGACACACCAGAAGAGTGCATAGGATCCCATTACAGATGGTTGTGAGCCACCATGTAGTTGCTGGGAATTGAACTTGGGACCTCTGGAAGAGCAGCCAGTGCTCTTAATCGCTGAGCCATCTCTCCAGCCCCCCCAGAGTATTTTACTACATATCTGTGTGTACATGTGTATGTGTGTCCACAATGTCCATGTGGAGGTCAGAGGACAACTTATGGAAATTGGTTCTCTCCTCGCCTGGGTCCTGGGGATTAGACTCAGGTTGTCAGCTTGGTGGCAAGCTCCTTTCCCGGTCTGCCATGTCACCAGCCCTCACACAACTTTTAGAGTGTCCCATGGAACGTTCACGTAGTCAAAACCCACTTGGCGGGCCCTGAGAGATGGCTGAGACGTTTAGAAGGTATACTGTTCTTCCAGAGAACTTGAGTTCAGTTCCCAGCACCCAAGTCAGGTGACTCCATCTCCAGAGGACCCACCATCCTCTTTTAGCATCTGTGGGTATCTATTTTCGTGTGCATGCCCTCTTCAGACACCAGTTGAGGGCATCAGATCCCATTACAGATGGTTGTTGGGAACTGAACTCAGGACCTCTGGAAGAGCAGTCAGTGCTCTTAACCACTGAGTCATCTCTCCAGCCTTAAAGTATTTATTAATGTAGCGAAATGCCCTACCCTTTGTTCCTGCTCTATAATGCTATACGATAGCAAACATCCTAGAGTTTGCTTTTTTAG